GGCCACCTATTTTACGTGCAAGATTACTACACACGCACTAGGTCCATCGTGGACACGGGAGCCCAAATTTCTGTCGCACCTATCGATAGCAGTAAGCCTCGTGCTTCACAACTTCGGTTGTGCGCTTCGAATGGCACCCCCACTCCTACTTACGGCGCACGACAACTAGCGGTTAACCTGGGGCCTCGACGACGGTATCCGTGGGTGTTCATTCTCGCGGACGTTCCTACAGGTGCCCTCGGTATCGATTTTCTGCAGTTCTATAAGTTACTCGTTGACTCAAGTAGACTGCAGTTGATTGATACTTAGTCGAACATTAAGTTCAAGGGCCTCAAGGCCTGTACAGACATTCACCGAATCACAGGTATCTTACCTGATTCGCTCGACTCGTTCCAATCGTTACTGGAACGCTTCCCCAATTTGACTAAACCTATTGAGAAAATCAACCTAGTGACAGATCGTGTGGCCCATCATATAGTCACTGAAGGACCACCAGTCACGGCACGATCTCACCGACTGCCGCCTGACAAATTAGATTTAGCTAAGTGTGAGTTCGACACTTTGCATTCAAAAGGCATTGTTCATCCTTCTCACAGTCTATGGGCCTCTCCTCTACAATGGTTCTTAAAAAAGACGGCATTAGCTGGTGACGATGTGGTACCGGTACCAGTACATTCTTCCTGCCACGGTGCCTCAATAAACGTCTACAACCACAAGCCTTCTGGTTTCACCAGCTTTAACTTGTTTGTGTTTCTAGCTCGTGGTTCTCGTTCTGAAGCGCGTCACGCTCGGTCGTAGTCGACGGTCTCTTCACTCTCTTGAGATTCTTTTGACACCCACGAAAACGGCCCATGAGCCGCTAGTGTGATTTCATGACTTAGCAAATAAGGCGTACGCTGCTTGAATGTGTCTTTGTATTCACTTCAATTTTAAACACAATTATCATCGGTTCCGAATTGAACTTAAAGTAAACCTCCAAAAATCTAATCTGGGATGTTTTGTTATGAGTGAGAAGGTTGGGTTTTACACTACACTCATTCAAACCGAGAAGAAAAATACCCGGGTGTTTTTCAGCAGGAAATCGGTCGTGTGTAAAGAACGCTTTATATTTTGCTTTGCTATATGCCGATTTGGTAATCGTGGTCAACTGCGTTTGCTTCTGTCAGTGTGTGTTCGTACGAATTTTCATGGATATCGGTACATCGGCTCTGCAACGTAGTCCTCAGGACATTCATGTGATGAATCGTCAGTTGAATGAACTGAACACGTGTCACTTTCTTCGTTAAAATACTTCTCCCGATAACCTGCGCAATAATATTTTGCCCAAAAAACTCCAAAAGGAATAAATCCAAGCAAGAGAATAAACATAATTCCACAAAGAATAAGAGGCCACGATAATTGAGGTAGAAACCTTTGTATTTCACTAGTCTCCGAGTCAACTATCGAGTCCGGGTCGGAAGAAGACAACGTTGATGCGACCCCAGATATGGTTGGGATCACCTCAGCATCTGGTGAGCTCGTAGTCGCTATGTTGTTGGTCGCATCTGTATTCGATTCAGTAGTGGATGCGCTCGTGGTCGCTGCATTGTTGGCCGCGTCTGTGTTCGATTCAGTATCTAATGCACTCGTGGTGACTACATTGTCGACCGGTTCTGTGTTCGATTCAGTAGCGTATGTGCTCGTGGTCGCTGCATTGTCGGCCGGTTCTGTGTTCGATTCGGTATCGAATGCACTGGTGGTCGCTACATTGTTAGTCGCTTCTGTGTTCGATTCAGTAGTGGATGTGCTCGTGGTCGCATCTGTGTTCGATTCAGTATCTAATGCACTCGTGGTGACTACATTGTCGGCCGGTTCTGTGTTCGATTCAGTAGCGCATGTGCTCGTGGTCGCTGCATTGTCGGCCGGTTCTGTGTTCGATTCGGTATCGAATGCACTGGTGGTCCCTACATTGTTAGTCGCTTCTGTGTTCGATTCAGTAGTGGATGCGCTCGTGGTCGCTTCTGTGTTTGATTCGGTAGTGGATGCGCTCGTGGTTGCATCTGTGTTGGATTCAAAATCTAATGCACTCGTAGTGGCTACATTGTTGGTCGCATCTGTGTTCGATTCAGTATCGGATGTGCTTGTGGTCGCTGCATTGTTGGCCTCTGCCAGGTTCGATGCTTGTTCAGATGAGCTTGTTGTCACTGCGTTGCTGGCGGCTTGTTTGTTTGAGGAATGTTTTGAGACGTTCGTGGTCGATTCAGGTCGATCCAGGCCGAAAAGTGGGATATTATAATGGCTCGATAAGTTTGGCAGCACGTAGCTCGTCACAGGTAATTGACCGTGGATTAGTTTTGATGAACGTTTGACAGAAGTATAAGGTTCATTAACTAATTGATGTCTGGGTTTCTCTGGGCTATCAGTAACCGGCAAAGTTTCGAATCTTGTTATTTTTCTGAATGCGCTATGGGTTGCAGATGTTTCAATCGAATGTAGATCATCATTGCTCGTTGGGGAGACGTTTGCTTCGGGTGAGTTTGATAGAAGTCCACCAACCGAATGTGAGTCAAAAATTGCGGATCGATTCCATTTATAACTCCTGACTGATTGCTCAGTGAATTTAGCTAAAAGTGTCGAAGTCAAATCCGAATCCATTGGCCTTTTTTTGCCACTGCGAATGACCTTGATCCCTGAATATTCCTTCTCCTGGATCACATCTGATTTACTAAGATTTGGTGGCAGAGACTGCTGCAAATCATTCGAATCGAATAACTTCCAGGAAATGAGTATTCTAGAAAAAATGCATGATAACATCGGACTTATTTTCTGCCGTGAGGTAGATAAACCAAGTTTATATAAATAAAAGTATCATAAAGTTTCACCGGTGAGTACTTAGTGGTCTATGCAATACATGAGCTAATGACTGAGTGTATCAACAACAGTCGCTTGACTTGAAACGCCAGCAATCCTGTCTATTGAACGTTGTACCATGGGGCTAGTTACATGGTATATTAAAAACACGCTTCCTCTAGGATTTGGTAATTGACGTCCTTTCAGTGGAATAATACTTAATTTAATGCGGTTCTTTGGAACTACTTCATTTGTTATAACAGCTTTCCTTGTTACACAGTGCTGGTATATCGATCATTACACAGAAATTCATCCCAAACACTAACACTGGCAACAGTGAGACTTGGTGCAATGAATGATGGATAAAGGATCTTTTGGAACTCATCAACGGAGCGTACCATTTACGTGTCCCTGCCCAGACTGGAATCACCAACAACACCTGATCAAAAATTGCCTTCCATGCGATTGGCACATTTTTGTCAAGAAACAATTATTTTTCTTGGTACCTATTTGAAAATTTATTGTGATAACATTTTGTTCGCGGTACTTTCACTTAACTCAATTTGTTTGTTTCAGTCATCGAATATGTATTTGCAAAAAGCTCTTAGACGTTTCATCTAGCTTGGGTATGATGTAACTATGAAACGCTTATTCAACGAGTCACATACCTCAAGGTCAACTTTTGAAGGTCATATTTTATATTTCACAAGTTACATTTTTGGGCCCTGCAAGATGAGGCATTTTACGTGAACATTTTGTAGTAACATAGTTTATCAATTTATTTAAGCCATTTATATTATTCTGCTTATTTAATTTGTATCACATGAAAATTCTGAGCTGCCACTTTCAAAACACCACAAATTTTATCGGGACACTCAAGGTTGCTCAAATTCAAACAACGATACGATGGGACTAAGAAGATTGCAGTGGGAGAAAAAGTTAGATATAAATATTCTTTCCCATAGCAATGGATATACAGCTAGGATACTTGCAACTAAAATGTATTTCCATTCTGAGAGCCATGTTACTTGAGTCCGATCAATACTTGTACATACACGAGATTCAGGACCCTATTGCTCGATGAAACTTCGTTAATTTCTGACATGATTTGCACTAGAATTAAGTACGAGCCATTCCTAAACACTGATTGGACAAGTATAAATCCACATATTGATTGTGTGTGAAAAAATGATCTGTCGGTTTCTCTGTAGAAAAGTCCGCTTGTTTCGAAGACTATCGTGAGAATTAACCCTAATAAATAGATTCGTGTTGCACATAGATTTTGGGTTTTCAGTTTTCATAGCCGTCATTGCCCATTATGAATTAGGGAGTAAAAAGAAGATCGGAGCGTTCAAAATCGATTTTAGAGTGAAAACGGAGAAATTCAGGCAGTCTAAGGTTGCAAAATATTTTAGAGGTTGTACGAGTGTCGCCTTTTGTGACATTCGGCATATCACTCAGTGTCTTCAGTAACTGATTATCATGATTCCGGAGTCCCGGCCAGGAAGGCTAATGCAACCTATGTTAGTAAGACTGCTGGTCAAGGTTTTTCTACGCCCATGCCTGGTCTCAGTTTGACCCCCACTCGTTAACATTTTTCACTCATCACCTGAATTGTAAAAGAGCAAGCGCCGTGACAATCTATTTGGTGACATGCACAACACATGGCCTAGTCAAAGTAATCGATGGAGGCCGACCATTTGCTTCAGTGGATGACCCCGATCATCTTAGACTCTGTCCTAACCTCGGCATTGCTTGTCCGGTTTACCCACCAGACTTGTGCAGTGCTGTGTAGGTACTGATTTTTAAACGCGGACAGTTCTTCTTTTCTTGTTTTCTTAATTGCGAAGTCTCTGCCGCTTACAGCAGAACTGTACTTGGGGTGGGGGTGGGGGTAGATTGCCACTATTTACACCGGTTGACATATAATGTCCTATGATAATTTATCGCTAAACAGCCATCCTCAGGGATCTTTCAACTACACCTTCATGTGTCGATAGTCCAACCGAACTAGGCTCCGAATCGTCACAGACAATAGCGTCTCAACACTGTTGAATACCGGAGACAATAACTTGAAACCAATTCATGGATGTCATGTGTGAAACGTAACCAATCTTCTTCGTCTTTCTACTGGACACCAAGGACGTTTCAAACGGAACTCGCTAAATGAGTTTCGGTAGCGTAAACTGTCTTTCAGGCTGATGAGCGAGGGGACCAAAATCTAGATCACCCATCTCACATTTATCTACTGTGTTTTGATATCTAAAAATAAAATGTTTGTTTGCATAAATCACCTGCTCGTTCTCCTACAAATGTGAAGTGACGTCATTAATCTGCAATTAGTCTGAACGCCTCAAGTATGTCACGGAATCGCAGGGCTGCATTTGGATTTAACCGTGATTGTTTGATGACCAAACTCAACAGTGGAAACTAGTCACACTAAATTGCGTGACTGACTTGCTGGAACAATCCGACAGCCATGGGATGATACATAAGCTGAAGGGGAGATAAAGGGTATGTAATAAATTGCAGAATGTTTCAAGGGCATAGTTTAGAATCCCATGTTCTACCAGAGTATTCACAGAATTCGATTGATGGTGACATTTTTCAAGGAATCTAACACCTTTATAACGGATGCTAATGGAAACCAGGTAGCCAGAATATTAGGTAATTCATATTCAACACAATTTACTTCCAACAAGCTTATCCTATGTGCTTTTCTGTAGATGATTGAAAAAGTGTTGATGCTGGCTTTCTCCTCGATAATGACAGACAATAATGTCTACATAGTCCCACAGAGCACATTTCAAATAGAACAAAGAGTGGCGAACAAGCGCGTTTTCGGTGATCCTCAGTTATACCAAATATATCACAATAAAAATCAGGCTGTTTATATATGTATCAACATTCAAAAATGAAAACACCCGTCATTTGTTTGGGAAAGGAAATATAACATCATAGGTTATCTCAGGCTGATTTTTTCTGACCTCGTACCCTCATCATCCTTGGATTTGGAAAAGCTGAAATCAACCTTAGTCAATGCGTGCTTTTTCAACATCAGAGTATGAAAGTAAAAACAAATGAACTAGTGACACCGGAGCATATTGAACGATTGAGATACCTGCAGAAAAACAGAAAAATCATGATATTCAACCCGGGCAAGGGGCGACGATCATGCTCGTAAACCGAAATGATTATGTTGATTAGATGGAAGCCATATTGAGTGACGGGTCAAAACAATGGAAAAGAGTAGGACCACTCAAATAAAGCTTGCGTTATCTAAGATCTTGAAATGTTTAAAGTAAAATAGATTCATCGGTGCGATTGCTGTCGACCGTATTCGGCCAACTGGGACAACAATTCCCAAACTGTACGGGTTGCCGAAGTTGCACAAGGAAGGGGTATCCTTGTGACAGATTCTCGATATGTGCAATTCACCGTATGACGCACTTGCAAAATGGTTGGCTAAATGATTATGGCCCGTTCGAATAGGACTAGCAGAACACAGCGTGCGAAACACATTCACTTTCGTGAACAGTATTTGTGCCTTAAACTTCATGGGTCGAACAATGCTTTCACCGGAAGTTAGCTCGCTCTTCACCAATGTTCCAATCAGCGAAACAATCGAATACCTGTGCAGTTATCTTCAAAATGTTGTGATAGGCCCACGATTGGAAGACCGGAAACAACCGCTTTATTTTTGCCCATACAAGGCTCAATAAAAGTTCAACGAGAAGATTTATCGATAAAAGGATTGTCCGGATATATCATCCTTACACATTGTAAGAAAACACAGAGTAGCAGACACGCTCGTTTGCGGTGACTCATCCACAGGCTAATACATCACAATTTATAATATATATATATATATATTATATATGATACATATGTACACAAAAATATATATCATATATCAAATATATGATATAAAATTTATACAAAAGAATTTTGTCCATGGGATCCTCTCTGGGATCGTTGTTTGCCAATTTGTTCATGACCAAACTCGAAAATAACCAACTCAAATCGTCCATTGATGATTGTGTGTTATATATACGGTATGTGGATGATATTCTGTGCGTGATTAAAACGACATCCGGAACAAATGAGCTATTGAGCGGCTTCAGTGTTGCTCACCGGAATAAAAGATTCATTTTAGAAATGGAAAACGACAAAAAACTGGCAGACCTAGAAGTCTGAGTCCCACATGGAATGGTTCGATGCAACGATCTTAAGAAGGCGACTTCAACGGTCCAATACATTCATTTCCGCACCTTTTTACCACTCAAAATGAAAAGAAATTTACTGCGCTACCTATAATAAACGTCAAGGAAGATTTGTAGTGAGGACACAATAGAAGGAAATCTCCGGTTCTTACGTACTACCTTCACACACAATGGCTATCCGGAATGGCGGGGTAACATGATGATTCAGTACACTCGAGATATT